ACAGTTTCATGAAGGATGTCTTCTCCAAGGTCTACATACACTAGCCAATCGCCAGTCCGTTCTCCTCAGTCCTCACATAGATCTTCTTACAGATCGAGGGTCTCGACATACCACCATACACGTCAGAGGAAGACGATGGTATCATTAAGATCCCACTTAGACACGCCGCTAAGGAAGTCCCAGGTCGCCGCCAAGGAGCTACAGCCTCACCAGTTGAGAGGGACATCGCTGAGAAGAGCGCCGCCGAGCCCACACCCTGTAGAACACAGAGGTCGCTCGCTAAGCAAGCTCATATATTGATCGACTCTGACTCGATATTTTTCGAAGGTCGAAGGCTAAGTGGCTCCAAGTTCATTTTCACCCAGAAGATCTAGAAGCGTTGCCATCGAGAGATTCGTGAAGTCCGGGCGTAAGCCGAGGAAGTCTCTCCAAGGTCTCCATATACTAGCCACTCGTCATATATAGCCACTTGTCAGTCCGCTCAAGACATCACATGAGTTGTTTATCAACTGTAAGCCATATGCCGCCTACAAGCCTTCACGCCGAAGACAATTGCACAGGCTATTTACAACACACAACGCCGCTGTATTAAATTATCAACGGACGAAGAGCCTAATTAGGGATCTTCGCCGACTACCTACTACGATACGATTATCTACATGCGTGACCATTACGCAGATCTGCAGACAATTCAAAAGCGAAATTGAACAGCAGTCTTGTTACGGCGAGTAGTAAACTCATAATCGTCAACGATTTCCTCAGAAGTAATATGTACAACAAGTTCAGCTTTAACAGTCTACAAGCTGACAACTTGCAAGGTTATTGAACCTTATATAAGGAAGTCGGAATTATCTTCAAGACTGAAGTTATTTTCACGACAGCCTGGAAAATAACTTATCCAGCATTAATATTACAGAGCTGAGGTATTTCAGACCGAGGTTTCGCTGGTTTACCATCAACCCTCGAAACACGTGGTCACTCGGGTAACTTCCGGAAGTTACGGTGAAGACCGACGCATTGTTCTAATATCAACGACGCACTATATTATACAAGGTTCCTTTCCTGATACACCGGTGACGCCACAGCCGGGTACTCTACAGAATCAAAATGCCTTGTTCTGATTGGACGAGATGGACAACGCCTCACCAGAGGTCGATCATAGTTCACAGTTCAACACATAGGTTGCAAGTGACAACAATATATCAGTGAACGAGCAAGCCTCCTTACAGTCCAGCTAATCTAAACCTTCATGATTGGGCTGCCTTCTCGAGGTTAGAGACCTCCCCTGTCAAGTAAGGACGAGGACACGGCAGTCAGACGATTTTTTACATAAGTTCAACGATGGCAGTCACCCCTGGTTATGCATCTACATCGCCAAGCACTTCAAGAGCTTAATTTACCTCGACGACGGGATACAAATGGATCCAAATCCATAGCGTCTCAGACTACACTTGAATTCATCATCAAGCTACTAACACAACTAGATGGTTAGTAAACCTACTTAAGTTGGACCTAGAACCTTCGCAAGATCTGCTATTCTAGGTTTTTGATTTGTAATGGCGCAGAATCTTATAATTGTACCGGAGGACCATGGATCAAGATCCAACAGTCATTTCCACAAGCCTTACTATCTCCGCTACCACTACGACAGTGACAGAGTCTGTTGGGGTTACGCACTTCAGCTCAGCTCAGCTCAAGACATGACAGACAGAGGCAGACTACAATTACATCCGTTACAAGTCATCAACAATTCGCATCTAGACGAATCTCTACCGTTCAATCATCGGTTCAGGTCAAACCTCATCTACTATGATGCACCAAGAGATCGAATGTTTGAATAGGCCTGATGCCTGCTAATAGAGCTGGAATCGATAACACTTCTCTACGATGTGTCACTATAAGGTTGGGGAGCCCATCTTGCCAACAGGACGGGCATCAGGGCTATGAGCAATCAAGAGAGCAATTACACATAAATCTGCTAGAGATGCAAGCAGTAATAAGCGCCTTTAATACACTGGAGCAACTTACTACAGTATACCCAGTGGATGATTCACACAGTCAATTCGACAGTGCGCTTTTATGTGAACAAACTAAGCTCAACCAGGTCCCCGAACATATCGAACTCTGTTTTCAATTGTTCGATTTAATCAACAATCTCAACATACATGTCAGAGCATATCACATTCCAGGAGCAAAGAATGTGATAGCAGACGCTCTCTCTCGGCCACACATACCATCGCCGACAGAATGAATGCTCCATACAGAGATATTCACTCAAATTATCAAGGAAATAGGAACTACACTAATAGACCTATTTACCATTCGATTCAACAAACAACTGACAACATTCGTATCGCCAGTTCCAGACCCACTAGCATTGGCAACAGACGCACTAAGCATATCGTGGGAAGGTCTCAACGCGTACGCTTTTCCGCCACCAGCGTTAATCTCACAAGTTTACTCTAAATCAGTCTAAAGCAGAGCCTCCATCTGATTTTGGTCACGCCTACTGACCAGCGAGGGAAGTGGTTTCCAACTCTTATTCAAGAAATCGGACAACCAATACTACACCTTACAGAGTGCTCGAATCTGTTAATACATCCGCAGACACCAAACAAGCAAGACGGAAAGCCAGATATATTCCAACTCCACATTATGGATTGTATCATAAGGTCTGAATAACAAGTTATTCAGCCAGAGCGGCAAAGCAGTCTAGCTTGCCCTGCGTAACTCAACTGGCAACTTATACGATGACAAATGGCACAGTGTTGTCAATTATGCTGCAAAGGAAGGATTTACAGCTAGATATGCTACTCATCCTCAAGTGGCGGACTACTTATGTTATCTACGTCAGACTAAGATTTTATAAGGCTCAACTTGTCCACCTATCTTGCAGCAATAGCTCTATCATAACTGAGAACGGGCGTCAAGTTCTAACCCAGTTACTCGCCTTGCTACGAGCTTTCCGATTGGAGGATTAAAACGGAAGTTTCACGCTCCAACTTGGGATCTGAATATAGTGCTCCAACACCTCACAAGTGAGGTTTATGAACACGCTTTGATGATATACTTGGACCCCATGATACGATGAATCTATCACGATGGCCAGTAAGAGCACTGAAAATATATCTCCACCGAGCCAAACAGGAGGGAAAAATGCAAGAGATTATTTCCTCTATCAAGCTACGCAGACGGAAGTCTCACGTACTATCTCCTTTTGGATCAGAACTGTCATACTACGTGCCTACAAGACTGCAGGATCGACCCTCCATGAGCTTCTAATCCTCATGATATTAGAGCGCTAACATATACAATGCTATTGAAATATGGAGGGTTATTTCTGGAGATCCGATATGGTGTTTGCCAACCACTATCTGAGAGATATCACCACCGAGGACGTCTCAGGTATCCACCATTTCGGTCCCATGGTCCTCGCACAACAGTTGACAGTTCCTCGGAGAAGATAAGTCAATCTTACAGATTTTTACTTATCTTATAACAGTACTAAATAGCTACATGCTATATATATTTTGCTTAAGTTCTTTTATTATCTTAAGCTCAGTACTATGGTTATTATATCATACAATATATAAGCTAACAACTCTACGGAGTTTGTTATTATATATTTAGCTTAAGTTAATCATATCTTAAGCTCAGTACTATGGTTACATTATAAATGTATTAGCTAACAAACTCTACAGAGTTTGTTTTTGCTATTATATATGTAGCTTAAGTTCATTATATCTTAAACACAGTACTATGCTCATATCATAAAAATAATATAACGTATTAGCTAACAAACTCTACAGAGTTTTTGCTATTATATATGTAGCTTAAGTTTATTCATATCTTAAGCTCAGTACCATGTTTATATCATATAAGTATATTAGCTAACAAACTCTAAAGAGTTTTTTACTATCATATACTTAGCTTAAGTTTCATCATATTTTAAGCATTATGGTTACATTATAAAATGTAATAGCTAACAAACTCTCACGGAGTTGTTTGGCTATTTAGGTTGCTTGTTAATTATATCTTAAGCACAGTTTCTATAATCATACTATATATATGCCTACAACTCTTAGGAGTTCTACTATTATATATATGTTCAGCTTAAGTTTCAATCCTTAAGCTCAGTCATATGTTCATTTCATAACATGTATTAGTTAACAAACTCTCAGTAGTTGGTTACTATTATACAGCTAAAAGTATCATTATACCTTACTAACAATTCTGTTATAACTTACATATATGCATATTGTAAGCTTACTACTTTGGTTCTATAAAAGTATTCATTATAAACTATCAACAGTTTATACTATCACATTAATAGCTTTAGCTTAATTAATGTTCTATATACTTTTATTATATTCAGTAAATTGTAATGACCCCTTCTATGGCAACTGATAAGTTAACAGCAGGAATTCAGTTCAGTGCCTTCATGAAGTTCCCTTAGGGTTATTACAATTATCTCAGTTCAAATCACTAATTAGTAAAATCCAAAGTATATATAATCCCACCTCCTATTCCGTAGGATTCTACAAGCAAATAAACATGAGTCAGGATAAGGAAAAATATGAAATTTTTAGAGTAAAATTAATATTTTTATACTTATCCTGACTCATGAGGTAAGCCCTCCCGTCCTCCCCACTTAACACTTTGGATTTCCCTGGAAATTCAGGTGTTGGGCTCAGTATATGAGGAGAGAGTGAGGCACATGGGTTCAGGTGGCGCTCTCGTTCCCGCGCTTGTGGAAGGGAGGTAACTCGTGGTCAGTACTAATGAGTGATTTTTTATTGAAGGGAACTTCAATTGGGAGATACAAGTGTTCCACTAGGTTCGCCAGAAGAAGAAGACAAGCAAATAAACATGAGTCAGGATAAGTATAAAAATATTAATTTTACTCGAAAAATTTCATTTTTATGCCTTCTGAGTCCTAGTCTACAAATCCATGTCAAGTATATTTGTCCATGTGTACTAACATCTATGGACTCTTGTAGGGATGCACACAGAAGGACCGCTTCATCGTCACTCAGATGCCGCTGCCCAACACTGTGGCCGACTTCTGGCGCATGTTGTACGACTATACCTCTGATACCATCATCATGCTCAATGAGTTTGATAGGAACGACAAGGTAGGTAGTCCATACTTACTCGGACACCAAGTAGGGTGGCCTGCTTGTCTTACAACCACCAGTACATGTGCTAGGTTATATCTCAGAGGTCAGAGGATTCTTATATGTCAGTGTCACACTCATAGCCCTGTCTGTCGGCCCGCCTCCGTGGTGTAGTGGTTAGAGCGTCTGCCTGGAGAGCAGAAGGTTGCGGGTTCGATCCCCGACCGCGTCATACCAAAAGACGTTAAAATATGGTACTTGTTGGTCCCTGCCTGGCGCTCGGCATTAATGGGTACAACAAGGACTGGTCGTCTCGGAGTCAGTATACTGTGTCTGAGTGGGGTATTCATGCTTCACTGCAGCATGGTATCTCAGTGGGCTAGCACTATAAAAACAGCCTAAGTCTGGGCTAGTACAAGCAGCCGCACATACACATACACACGCATGCATGTCGTCATATGAGCGAAATATTCTCAAGCACGACATTAAAGCCAATTTCACCTCACCTCACCTGATAGCCCTGTCTTGGGCCTATATCACTTTTTCTCACATATTGAAGTGAAACACTGTGGTAGAACTGAAATATTGTTGAAAATGACATTACACTCAGGCCTATGTCATTTACTTACTTTAGATGTCTGTTTCTGTGTTTTAGTCGTGTGCCTTGTACTGGCCGGAGGAATATGGCTATACAGAAGAGTATGGCCCCCTCAACGTGGAGCTGCTGTCATCCTCTGAAGCTGACCCTGACGTCACCATCCGCATCTTCAAACTCAGCCATCTTGTCAAGGTAGTACTATTTTGAAAATGTACACGATCAGTTATTTTGTCCTTCATGCTAAATTCTTCTGACATATCACATTGTCCTGACTCTATTCTGGCACTGCTCTGTCTGTTTCATGCTGTGCTGTAATTTGTTTTGCCTCACACATGTTGTTCCTCACACTCCTGCTGTAGTGCCAGCCAGGTAGTCTTTGTCATGCTGTTCCAGTACTGTCATGCTGTTCTATCACTGCCATGCTGTTCCATTACTGTTATGTTGTTCTGGCACTGTCATGCTATTTTGTCACTGTCATGCTGTTCTATCACTGTCATGCTGTTCTGTCACGCTGTTCTGGCTGTCATGATGTTCCATTAATGTCATGCTGTTCTGTCACTGTCATGCTGTTCTGGCTGTCATGTTATTCCATTACTGTCATGCTGTTCTGTCACTGTCATGCTGTTCTGTCACTGTCATGCTGTTCCAGTACTGGCATGCTGTTCTGTCACTTTCATGCTGTTCAATTACTGTCATGCTGTTCTAGCTGTCATGTTGCTCTATTACTGTCATGCTGTTCTGTCACTGTCATGCTGTACCATTACTGTCATGCTGTTCTATTACTGCCATGCAGTTCCATTACTGTAATGCTGTTCTCTCACTGTCATGCTGTTCTGTCACTGTCATGCTGTACCATTACTGTCGTGCTGTTCTATCACTGCCATGCAGTTCCATTACTGTTATGTTGTTCTGGCACTGTCATGCTGTTCTGTCACTGTCGTGCTGTTCTATCACTGTCATGCTGTTCTGTCACGCTGTTCTGGCTGTCATGATGTTCCATTAATGTCATAAAGGTCACATAAACCCTAGGGGTAAAAATACATAAATCACTAACTCGCATCATTATAAATGAAACCCCGCCATTAAAACTACTCATTTCGACCTTTAATTGACTTAAATCGACCTTTTTGACAACAGTGCACAATTCTCACCCACGAATCTAAATTTCAACCAATCAGAGCGGCGCGACTCTGTGACGCCATATGAGGAATAGCTAGGAGGGCCTGTGCAGAATTCATCTACATTTTAGGGTTAAATTATCTTGTTTACAGGCTTGTATAAACCTGAAATCGCGGATAATTGTTGTGGAAAATGAAAGCTATATGTTCTCACAATCTACTGTCATTTAATTTTGTCTCATGCTTTGCCTAGTTTCCGAAGTTACAACTTGTTTTCATAGACGCATTCTGTCAAAATCGATTGGTGTCAGTAGGGCCCTATTTGTATAATGACTGATCCAAATTGATCCCATTTCTGTGTTTTTTTACCTCGATATTTAATCATGTCATGTAAAAATCTGTTTGTATTCTCAAAACAGTGTCGGCCCATAAGTTTTCACATGCAATACAGCAATTAATACTCCCTTGTTGTAACCCGTGTTAGGTGGTATAAACCTACACATGTTATTTGTCATCATTCACTTGATGGTCAGTTAATGAATTTATAACAGGTATAATTAGTGGTAACACACTTAAATTACCCGACAAAGGTTCCCATTTGGCATTTCTTGTGTCTGGAGTAAATATTCAACATTATAAACATCGATCAAAGGATTAACCGATAACACGCTGATTGATTAATTACTTTTATCTTACACAGCGGAATTGTCAAAAGGTAGTGTTTATGTATGTAGATTTACTAATCTATACTGAATACACTCTGTCGTCGGTCGGTGTTCTGCGTAAAACAACGCCCTTCTTTCAAAGGATTAACCGGCATTACATTGATTGATTGCCCATTATTGGCTAACTAAATTACTGTTTTTAAAGAAAGGCGACATTATGCAATTAGTTGCCAGGGTGTGCTATCTTGGGTGACCAATGAGACTATACATCAATACCTGAAAAGATTTATCACTTTTTTTCAGATATTAAACTGTTAAAAGACACATCATTTGGAACAGTTTTGTGGATATTGATGGATACATTCTCTAACAAGGTAATGGCCTGATATTGTTCCTATAACTTTAATCTGTTTTAATTTTAATATTTGCATTTTGTTTTTATTCATTTGTCGAGCATTCAACAGAATCATTGTTTTCTGCCGTGGAAGTGTAATGAGACAGACAACATGCACTAGGTGTGTGTGCTTAATTATGATTCACATTGGTAAACTATAAAATGTCTAGATATTACAGTTCTGTTATAAATTCACTATAAGTATCAGCAGATCGTCTGCTTTTTATTTAGTTTCAAAATGCATACAAGTATGATAATAAACTAATTAGGATTATAAGACCAAATATAAAGACGCACATTGACTAGTATCTACATACTGGTGAGTGGACATTAACCATGGGAATGTAGCAAGAAATTTATCGCAGTATTGTGACTTCGACCCCACCTCGCCCGTGGAAGAAATCGCTATGTTATAAGTTGTGTCATGCAAAATCCGTTTGGTTATGATTCCAATACATATTTAACTACGAAAGTAGAAAGTAGTCTTGATTTTCTAACTTGATGAAAACAAACTATAATCTCCTTAATTCTAACAGATTTTTTATTTTTAAAATGATGCTCTGTCGGGAACATCCGCCAGTCTGAGGATAAATGGTATTTAGGTTTGTTTCACCGAGTTATAAAATCAAAACTATTTTTCTACTGGTAGTAAAATATGTATTTTATTGATGGCCAATAGGATTTTGCATGACAAAGCTGCAAAACATAACAATTTCTCTCGTGGCAGCGGTAGGTGGGTGTCAATATAATACTACTTACAATATTATTGTTACTTCGACCACAACCTCACTTCCTAGGAAGAAATCGTTATGTTACAAGTTGTGTCATAGAAAATCTTTATGGTCATCAATCATATGCATATTTTACTACAACTAGTAAGTAGTTTTGATTCTTTAACTTCCGTGAAGCGCATCTGAACACAAGTAAGATATCGCTTCAGGCTTCCACAACGCCTTCTTCGCGACTCACAAACATAACCCATTTAGCACCTAACCGCGGGTCCTGTGGAAATCTGTGCATGGGGACACCATCGCCGACTTCTAGGAGCAATTGACTACAAAGCAACGATTCAGCATGTCGTCGTTGATGTCGAAATCATCAAAATGATGAGCTGCTACACATTTTCTATACAACTAACTGAAAATCGCTCCTCATATGACGCCACTGCAGTGCTCTGGCGACAGAGTTACGAACCTGTCTGTGGTTTCAAGCATGGCTTAGAGGGAAGCAGGCTTAATTTTTGGCAACTTTTAATCGCCGGTATTAAATAACCACAAGTTTTTAAAGAATAAATTTGGTGTTCCGTGATAAGACTAACCACAAATCTTTCATATGTAATGGTTAAAAGAGTAACAAAACAAAGTTTAGTGGTTCTTTAAGGTTTCCAGGTCAGCACCCTGCCTTTCTTTGTGGGTTTCACCCACGTAGTATACATCTTAGACCTCCCAGCTGATGCTGACATGCATCAGATGACTGTAATACTCTTCAGAGCATGGTTGAACCAAACATACTCACTCGTGAAGATCATAGCTTTTTCTCAACATTTTCTTCAACTTCCTATTTGTCAAGGAAGAAATGTTTTAATCTATCTACTTCAAAGATTAGATATTCGACAGCAATATGTTTTTCCATGATTTGAGAAATTTGTTATTTTGATGTTATTGTTCAGGATACACTAACAGATTGACAGCTTGTCCCTGATTGCTTTTGTTGATGGATAGTGTGGCAGCTTGTCCCTGATTGGTTGTATTGATGGATAGTGTCGCAGCTTGTCCTTGATTGGTTGTATTGATGGATAGTGTGACAGCTTGTCCTTGATTGGTTGTATTGATGGATAGTGTGGCAGCTTGTCCTTGATTGGTTGTATTGATGGATAGTGTGTTACATCACATCATACTCATCATTAAGTTGGGATAAATTTAATTTGTCGTAATATAGTTCACATAATGCCTATAACAAAACTAAGTTCGCCCATTCTCCCAAGAAGATTATGGTATTGCTATTAAGTTAGACGACAGCTGCTTATTGTAGGAGCTTAATTGTTCACCCTGAAGAAGCAAGCAGACAATTTGTTATTGACTGTCCAGGAATGGCGCCAGCAAGAGCGGGGTGTTTGCTGCCGTAAGTCTGGTGCTGGAGAGACTGAGCCTGGACCAGGAGTTGGATGTGTACCTAGGACCGCCAAACAGATCCAGATCAACAGACCACAGTTCATTGAGAACTATGTAAGTTGGCAGTCAGAGGCTGCATTATCACTGTGATGAGGAACAATAACTGAGAAATATGAAGTATATCTGGGTAAAAACACTAGCCTCTTTTGCATTTAAAACCATGTCATATTGATTATGAATTGGCCAGCATCTCAAATATCAACACAGAAGACTCACATGCATA